CCAAGTAGGAAGTGTGACCTCTTCCTCGTTGTCTCTAAGAAGGTGGAAGTCCCGATTGGCCCTATTACGATGATATTTCAACTCTTCATTGATTATTTCTTACCTTATCATTTCTAATAGGACATCATAATCGGTGGGATCCTTGCATTACACGTCTATCTAGAAGATAGAATTCATATCCCGCCCTCCCCCAAGGGCCGATAGGGCTTCCCTACCGGTAACTTGCACACAGTAGGTCATTGTATCAATGAAATGAGATAAAAGAAACTTTTTAATGATTCTCGCTGCTATTGCCTCATGTCTTGGAGGCACAGTATTGGCCTTTCACCTTCATTGCTATTCATGAAGCCCTTAAGGAAAGCCTTCTTGAAATCTGACCAACTTTTAATACTTCATTTTGTAAGTCTAGTGTACCTTCTTCAGTTGCCTCACTTAGGGTTAAATGGAAGGCTCTACATTTCATAGCAAGAGTAGAAACCCTTAAGCTCATGTGAGTTTTGAAGCTATTGAGGTACTTCGTTGGATCATCTCTTTCATGAATTAGCTTGGGATAGGGATATCCCTAATTCCCTAGGAAAATGGGAAGTTGTCATCATAGTCATTGAGGTCGCAAGACCTTTGTAGTTCGTCAAAATTTTCATCTTCTGACTTGAGGTCCCCAAAGTGGTTTGGACGATTCTGCTTGATTCTTGGTATGTTCTACCCTCTTCTGACTCCTATTCGTAGGTGGAGGATTTTGAGGTAGGTCACCATAACTAGGTTCATTCTGTATTTCAAATTGGGGTGGTCCCTACGTCCTGTTGCTAGGTATAAATAGAGGTTGAGCCTATTTCTAAGCATTGAGAGACTTAACCTATGGAAGACACTCATGTATCTCTGAAGCATGTCTCCCGGTTTATAATTTGGAGAAAAGTTACATGAAACCTCATTGGGTCGATCAGTGACATAGTTGGTAGAGTATCAACCTCAACTTCCCTCTCTTAAGGGGTTTTTTACATGGTATAGTGTTGATAGTCAGTCATATGGCTTTGAACCTCCTCTTCACCATGATAATAAATCCCTTTCGGTAGGTTGTGATAGAAAGCATTTTCCTGAGCTGCATATGGGGGGATTGGATATCATCTATGATGTTGCATACTTCTAAGTAACTCTTGCATGACAATATTCTATTGGGTAGTATCCATCATGTTTGCGGCCATTGTGGCCACTTCTCTGTAAGCCTAGCAGTAATTCTAGACCTACCTTTTGATTCACCTCGTCGATGAAATCAATGACGGGTTGCTAGAACGGCGTGTGAGGGTTTCCCTACTTCAGGGTGTTCCCTAGCTCTCCGATGTGTTGACTCCTCATTGTTAGAACTCATGGTAACGTTCTCTCCACAAGCAACTTCATTTTTCTTATGCGAACGATACTCCTTTTTGAAAAAATATACTAAGATGCAGCAAAAGGTTCCTCTTGGAGTATTTGGTGGTTCTTTCTTAAAGAACAACCCACTTTTCTTCAAAGGTAAGAAACTCCCAAAATGTATTTCCTTACCAGCTTTTTCCATGGGTTCTTCGTGTTTGAATGTGTTTCGATAATGGTTATGTAGACAACATATGTTAGGTCCATTCGTATCCATGCAAGCAAAATCTAACATGTTTTGATCATAAATTCGGACAAAGAAGGGTGACGTTTCTGGACTTAGGAGATACTTTTAAGACACGAGACAAAAATGTTCAAACACCAGCAATATAATCGAAAATGATTGCATATAAAAAAAATCAAAAACAACTCAACCAAAGTAAAAACAAACTTCACTCAAGTGGATAAATATGGAATGAGCAAGAGAGAAAGCCAAGTGTGTTTTTCAAGTATAAAGAGTTACACTAGGAACAAATGTTACAAGAGTTGCTTATTTATAGAGATCAGACCGACTGGTAGTCGTTTAATGAGAACCAAGTGACCTCATCTCCCAGGCCGAAGTCTTATCCGCTATACATTTAATATATTGATAACGGGTCAGCCATTTTATACCCTAAGCTGACAACCCTGACATTCATCGTTACTAATGTTACATCAATCATTCATAAAGATTGCCTGCAAATCCTTTAAAAGACAGCAAGGGCTTCGGCTAAATGGAGCTTCAGAACAAAGAGCATCGGCTTCTTCTTTGACTTATTTATTCTAACGAATTGGGTCCTTGTTGATTTAGTCAGATTTGACTAACATCTCTACATGGTCTTCAATTGGAGCCTCAATGGCAAGACGTAACGGTTCTATTAATGTCTCAACACACTTTTATGTATTTTTCTTTTCTTTTAGTGATTCATTTGTCGCTTTTTCTGCTTTGGGAATCATTTGTTTGGATCTCGAAGGTAAATTTCACTCTCTATTTTAGGTAACCTTCTTTTTTCAAAGATAGCTCCTAGATGATAATAATTAGAATCAGATTACTACTAATTGATAATAATTAGGATTAGATTACTCAAAACTAGCTCTACACTGCAATATAGGCAATTTTTTCTTATGTACCACGGTTAATACAATCCCTTTTTTACGGGATGAGTAATTGAGATTAAAATACCTAGAGTATGATTCCTACTTATGATCCACTGTTAGAAGATAAAAAATCCATACACCAACCTAAATAGTTCCAAACATCGGATCAACCACCCCCAAATTTATTCCTTCTATAGGTAAAGTATAACGCCCCAAATTTTATCGACTTAAACTTTGGGATGTCACCGATATCATTTCATAATGCGGAATTATTTAAGTAAAAACTCAAAACTTAATTTTATTTGAAGCGTCAAACACCATTTTAAATAAACACTTAATTATTGAATCAAACATAATGTCAAAAAATCTAAACATTTAACAGAATTAAAGAAAACACAATATCGTAACATAATCTATTGTAAGATGTTTTTCCTTGAAAATTTATTACTTGGCAACCCGCACACCGCAC